GCATCTGTTGTTTTTGCACTTTTTAATAAAAGCCATTCTAACTGAGGTAAGGTGATAGCTTATTGTGGTTTTAAAAATTGTTATATAGAGATTATTAGCAGTGGCTGTATTTAACAGGCCCTTATCTTAGTCTGAGTCCTTAACCCTTCCATTTTACCTCTGTTTAGAAAGTAAAGATGATTGTTAAACTATATGGATGCTTCTGTTAAAAACATACAGTACAAATGTTTTTTGAAACTTAATTTAAAACCTAGCTTAAAAATTATAGGAAAAAAGAGCTGATGATTAAACTTGATTGGTTTTTTTGGGCTGTCAGGGCCTTACTTGTGCAGAAGTACTATATGAAGGCTTCAGAGTAGTTAATGGTGATGGGAAAAGCATTAGGAAACAGTCCTCAGGGATAATAACCTAAAAGAAAGCAACCACCTGCAGGAAGGTTGAGTATTTCCATTTGTATGCTGTAATATGAATCAAAACAATAATTTTTCCTTTGCAAATTTCTTTGGTTTTTCTTTAAAGAAAGGGTTTCTCACAAAGCTTTTTGGACATTTCAAATTTTAAGTTAAATTATTTTCCCTTCTATTATTTTTCTTTAGGCTTACCAGGAGGGCAGACTTCAAAAGCTACTAAAAATGAATGACTCTGAGGACCTTCCTGAGTCCTATGACTATGACCTTGTCATCATTGGAGGCGGCTCAGGAGGACTGGCAGCTGCTAAGGCAAGGCTCCTTGGGTGTTTGTTATCTGGATTGTGGTTACAGTATTAACATTCCTAGCAGAGTTCTCTGTATTCTCTGTGGAGTTTTTTGATCCACTGTTGTGACATTTTGCACATTAATTTGGGCAGGACATGGACATGTTAAGGGACACTTCATAAATCATTTTCCTAGATTGAAATATATGTTTTTTTATATTAAAGTACAGGGCTCACTATTTTGGGACGCATTTTTATTCATTTTAAGTTTTTTTGACTTCAGAGATTATAAGGATATTGTGTGGAAATGGTTTGAAATTAAACAAATACATGTCTTATTCTTTTTTTTTTTTTTTGCTTGTAATTACATGTCTTATTCTTTATCAGTATTAATGTTTGTTTTTTCGTTGATGATTTCCCTATTCACAACCCCTCCTCCCCACTAGAAAGAAAGAAAGAGCAGTTGGATTTGTTAAACTTATTTATTAAAAGTGATTTGCTTTCTCTGTATATGGGGTGATCTAAGAGAATAACCACCAACTCTGTGGCCTAGGGGTGATTGGGAAAAGAATATATAAATAAGGAAGCTTGGGAGTGAGGCTCCTGATCCTGAATCAAGATACATTTCCCATGTGAGGAGCCCTTGGGCCTGTCATCCCTACCCAGCAGGTTTTTTTTTTTTTTTTTTTGAGACAGTCTCACTCTGTCGCCCTAGGTAGAGTGCAGTGGCAGAGTGCAGTGGCATCATCGTAGCTCACTGCAGCCTCACACTCCTGGGCTCAAGTGATCCTCTCACCTCAGCCTGCTGGGTAGCTGGGACTACAGGTGTGCACCACCTTGCCCAGCTAATTTTTCTATTTTTGATAGAGATAAAGTCTCGCTCTTGTTCAGGCTGGTCTCAAACCCCTGAACTCTCAAGCAATTCTCCTGCCTCGGCCTCCCAGAGTGCTAGGATTGTAGGCGTGAGCCACCTTGCCTGACTGATTGATTTAAAAGATGAAGTGGTTATTATGCTCCCCTAAGGTGTAGCTTGTGGTGACTCAGTAAAGGTAGATTCAAATGAAGCTGCCTAAATTAAGAGCAGGCCAATGTCTAGCATGAAGCAGTGTTTTGCTGAAAGTGATTCAGGAATAATACCTGATAAATTTTACTGTAGTCGTGGTGTATTTGAAGGACACATAGACTCAGTCCTTTCAAATAATCTTTGGAGACCTAGTTGCCAGTATGCAAAGCTTATTCTGAGATAGATAAAAGATATTCTGTAAAATAAATTTCTGACTATTTTTCCTCATGTTCCTAAAAATGGATTTGAAAACCTCATAGGTACCATCAACTTTTTCATGGGCTACTCATGTGAAAATTTTAGGAAATCTGGACAATTTCAGAAGAAAAATTTCTCCAGTATTCTGCCACAGAAACCAAATTAGATAAAACTTTGAAATGCTTTAAAAAATATTGCAGGGCACAGGTTGAATCAAGGGCTGTAGACTATCAGTTGACTGGCTGCTTAGCACTTGCTTGGAAATGGCCACTTTTTTTCAGATTATTGCTTAATCTGTTATTGTTTAAGTGGAATTATATAAGAAAATTCTAAGGTTTCCAGCTGATTCTAACGATTTTACAACTATAACCTGCATAACTTTCAAATCTACCCTCATAACTATCTGAATCTCTTTTAATTTTTATCTTGGAGTTGAACTAATAATCATCATGGTATATGAAATTCCCTGGTGTTAGTAACTAGTTATGCTCTAGGCATTATAGTTTAATAATAACATTATGGATTTCAACAGCCCATTTCCAGTCTATCATGTTAACTTTTCCAACTCATTTTAATAATTTTATTTTTCAGGAGGCAGCCAAATATGACAAGAAGGTGATGGTCCTGGATTTCGTCACTCCCACCCCTCTTGGAACTAGATGGGGTAAGCTTCTACAGTAATTCTAGAAGTGATTTTGCAGAAGCACATTTTTCCCTGGCACTGATCTAAGTGGCTCCTAAAACCTGATAAAATTAAACAGAACATAACATATATCTCTTTCATTTGAACTTAATTAAGGTGGACTCAAGTTAAATGCTGCAAATATAGGTTCCTTTGGCACAGAGTCAAGGTAGTAAAAACCTTATCGACAAGCTATGATATAAAGGTAAATATCTGAGTAATCTAGTGTATTTAGGGGCTTAATAACTGAAAATTTAAACTTCTCATTTGTGGATGTCTGTTTTAAATCTTCCTCATATATTCAACAAGAATTGGAATCACATACCTTAATGGGTACCCCTGCTGCTTCTGAGTCTTGGTGAATTATATGTTTATTATTCATTTATTCAGCAAATGTTTATTGAACACTTACTATGAACCAGGCCATGGTACCATGTGTGAACATGGTACACACAGAGTTCCTGCCCTTGTGGCACTTATATTCTAGGGAGGGACCAAAGAACTTTATGAATTGTGATAAGTAGTACTGAAAAAAATTATATAGTGGGATAGATAGAGAGAACTAGGTAAAAGAGAGAGTTTAACTTTGAGAAGATTATCAAGAAAGGCTTCTGAAGAAGGTGGCATGTAGAAGAGTCCTAAAGAATGAGAATGAGCTAACTATCCTAAAAGGTAAGGCAGAAGCTTCCAGGCTGCTTTTATCTGTCTTACTCAGAGAATAGTACATACAAAGACCCTGAGGTAGGTAAGAGTCCTGCTTCGTTGTGGCATGGGTAGGAGGAGTTAGAAGTGGTAGTCTGAGGTAAGACTGGAGAGGAAGGCAGGTATCAGACTCTACAGGGCCTTGTAGGTCACAATGAGGAATTTGGACTAATCAAAGCGTATAGCAGAAAGCCTTTGAGGAATTTAAGGTAGGGAAATGATATGTAAGTTTTTAAAAGATTGCTTGGCTGCTTGCATTAGGAGGCAAGAAGCAGGAAGTCCAGATTAGGTGGTGTCACAATTTCTGACTCATCCATTTAGCACATATTTGATAAGTATCACCTCTGCGTCAGGCACTATTCTTGGTGCTAGGTATATACCCTCTGCCTTGTGGAGCTTACACACCGTAGTGGCACTCTGATAGCATTCTGCTCAGAGGACTTACCTTTGAGCTGTGCAGTCCACTGCCATCTCGCACTCTTACTCATGTCATTTTGGCCACCTCCCCACTTGTCTGCATTTTGTTTTAATGAAAACAAGCTATTTACTGTATTCTTTAAGCTTAGGGATGCTAAACCTTTTTTTTAGGGGATGAAGGGAGTCGTGAGTCCTTGAGAGTCTATTAGAATTAAGCAAAAGCTGTAGGCTACCTCCTTTAAAAAATGCACATATACGTTAAATTTTAAATGTAGTTTTAGACCCACTGAACTCATCAGGTAGTTTGTGCATAGATTCAGTGGCAAGTATAGATGCTCCTCTACTTATGGTGTGGGTTATGTACTGATAAAGCCAGCATAAGTTGAAAATATCATAAGTTGAAAATGCATTTAAGGATGGGCGTAGTGGCTCATGCTTGTAATCCCAGTGTTTTGGAAGGCTGAGGCAGGACGATCACTTGAGGCCAAGAGTTCAAGACCAGCCTGGACAACATAGTGAGACCCTATCTCTACAAAAAAATTAAAAAATTAGCCAGGCCTGGTGGTACACACGCGCGTATAGTCCTAGCTACTTGGGAGACTCAGGAGGATTCCTTGAGTCAGGAGGTTACAGTGAGATATGATTGGGCCACTGTACTCTATCCTGGGCAACACAGCGAGACCGTGTCTCTGAAAAAAAAAAAAAAAGATGCATTTAATACACCTAATTTACCAAACATCTTAGCTCAGCCTAGCCTACCTTAAACATGCTAGAACACTTTTATATTAACCTATAGTTGGGAAAAATCATCTAACACAAAGCCTATTTTATAATAAAGTATTGAATATCTCATGTAATTTATGGAATACTGTACTGAAGTGAAACACAGAATGGTTGTATGGGTAGTATTGTAAAGTTGAAAAATTACAGGTAAAACCATTGTTAAGTTGGGGGCCATCTCTGTAGGGTTATGCACATAGTAAAGTTTCAATTTCTGGCATCTTTATCAATAGTCAATTAATTTTGAGTCCTTGAAGTATATGGAAATTGTGGGAATCTGCCCCTCTTTTTGTTTTGTTTTAGGATGAATTACTGTGTGTGGTAAATAAAGCTCTCTGAACTTAGAAACATCACAAGACTTAGAAATAAATTATATAAATGGTATTGGCCCCATTTAGCAAATAAATTATGATGCTCATAGAATTGTAATAATCATTGAACTTTTTCTTTGAAGCCTTGTAAAGCAGTCTGTAAACTGATTTCTCAATGTTGTTGCAGGTCTTGGAGGAACATGTGTGAATGTGGGCTGCATACCTAAAAAACTGATGCACCAAGCAGCTTTGTTAGGGCAAGCCTTACGAGACTCCAGAAACTACGGATGGGAAGTTGAGGAGACAGGTATGGGAGGGAAAACTACTCTTCTGTTTGTGCTTTGGGGGTTTGAGCTGTGGTCTGGGAACGTACTTTTATTTTTACGAGGCTAGCAAATAGCCTGGAAGTTGTTTTTATTGTTCACATTTTTTATGAATAAAATCACTGTAGTTATCCTTTGTCAGGTAGTTACTATAGTAACAATAGATACTGTGCTTGGAGTATGGTATTTCTATAAGAGAAAACCAGAGTTTTTTCAAATAAGTTCTTACATAGTTTTTTTAAGAAATCATACGACATTTGTAATTTGTAAGAAAGTATTAATTGCATTTGTTTTCTTTTGCATTTGTCTCTCCTTTCAAAGAAGTCTGTTTCATGGTCTGATATTTGTGGGGAGTGATGATTGTTTATTGAGGAGGGGGTGATTAGACTTTGTTGGATTAAAAATATTTGGAATATACTAGAAAGCCTAGACAAGTTGAAGAGGCAATTGTTAACTTTAGAAAGTAGATTGCACTATCTGGTAGAAGAATAAAGTGAGGCTTAGCACAGCTTCATGACGAATTAATAACATATATCACTCTGTTCTTGAAGAGTGAAACTCCGACCCCTATAGATTTGAAATTTATAGGACGTGGAGCATTTGAGGGAAAATATTCCAGCCAATAACTAGAGTAAACTGTTATGTGGCTTTTTTGGAGTTTTAATTAACAGTTTATTAAATATAAAAATAAGACAAATACATGCTTGAAAACTTTTGCTCCTGCTCAAACTAGTCATGCTTCCTTTGTTGTTACTGCTTTTTCCCATTTAAAAATAACAGTACTTATTTCAAGTCTGGAATCTTTGAAAATCAGTTACTTTTAAAGTTTTTTTAAGTTGGAGTCACATCTGTTTCTTCAGACCCTTACAAGAAAGAGGGATATGAAAAGAAATTTGGTAAAGTATTGGTAATTATTGCAGCTAGATGATTGGCACACATGGGTGAGATATGTTCCATTCCTGGTAGAGAAATAGCGGGTCCTGCCTTTTCTTTTTATAGTGGTGGTGTGGTAGACAGCTGCCAGACAGGCCGGCTGGTCCAGGCTCCCTGTAGCCTTCCCCACCCCCAGGCACCTCGTCCTCCTGCCGCCATAACCACAGTGGCCTCTGCGGTTACTTTTTTTTTTTAATTGAACTAATCTCTTAGTGTTTGCTCTAGTTCTAACATTTTATCATCATATGAATTAAAATTCATGATCTGTTCTCTAGGAGGCCACAGCTGATTTTGGTGCTGTCATTCCCACTTCCAGAGGCTGGCCTGGCCAATTGGGTGTCATAGAGCTGGTTTCACCACTTACTATATGGCCAGACTACTTAACCACTGAATTGGAGACTCAGATTTCCTCGTTTCCATGAGAGAGGCTTTCATATTGATTTTCTTCTTCCTTCCAAACCACAACTTCCCTAGGACCTGCCTTCTGCCTCCCACCAGAGTATATTTACCCATATTCTATTTTTTCCCAGTCATTGATAAGCTATTGAATGACAAGGTTGATTTTTATTCATTAAGTTTTGGAGTTTAGTAATACTTTAGGGGGCCCTAAGGATTCATTAATTAAATGATTCATTTAATTATGATAGAATCAAAAATATTTTTCTCTTTGATGAAAGTTTGGGGAGAAATAAGATAGACTCTTAAAATTCCCTGTATAAATGAGGAGTCACTGAACTTTTCCTGTAAAAGGCCACATAATAAATACCTTAGTCTTCTTGGGACATATGATCTCTGTAGTAGCTGCTCAACTCTGCCATTGTAGTGTGAAAGCAACGGTAGAGAATATGGAAATAAATGAGCATGGCTGCATTTCAGTAAAACTTGATTTACAAAAAGGTGATAGGCTAGATTTGGCTCGTGGTGTTATAGTTCGCCAGCTCCTGGCATAAGCACTTAACCAGCTTAGTAACTCCAGACCTGGCTACATCAGAATCTCTTGGATTTTTTTTGTTGTTGTTACAAATACAGAATCCTAAACCCTAATATATACCCTGGCAATCAGTGCTTACAGTCCAAAGTAAAATTCCAGTTTATTTGTAGATAAAGAAAATAAAGATTTGTGTAAGGTTATTTTAGTCTTGAGAATTGCCAGGAAGCCTTGCTTTATTTAATTGTATGGTAGTCTTCTAAAAGGGAAAAGAATATTTGAAGATGAAAAGTAGTGTATATGTTCAAAATAAAGGACTTGTCCTTTCAGACTAAAAGCTCTGCTCTTTGTGTTTCATGTGAGTAGTTATTGAGAAGTGATCTTTGCCAGAAGTTGAAAAGCTAAATATTTTGTCTTATTTTCTTACTCAGTTAAACATGATTGGGAAAAAATGACAGAAGCTGTACAGAATCACATTGGCTCTCTGAACTGGGGCTACCGAGTTGCTCTGCGGGAGAAAAAGGTGGTCTATGAGAATGCCTATGGGCAATTTATTGGTCCTCATAGGATTAAGGTAATTGTGACATCCAGAGTAGCTTTTTTTTTTTAAAGCTTTCGTTGGAAAGTATCTAAGTATTAAAAGTATTATAATAAAAGTAATAGCCACTGTGACCCGGACTACCCAGTTTGGTGTTTTTTGCCATCATACCTTCTTATGGGGTCTTCTGTGGTGGGAATGTGGTAAAATGTAGGCGTTCTGGACCAGATTACCTGGATTTGAGGCCTGGCTCTGCTACCTAATAGCATTGTGACCTTGAGCAAGCCTGTTTGCTACTCAGCCTTAATATCTCTTACCGTATTATCAAATTATGAAGATCAAATGAGACAATGTGTGGTAAATGGCCTTTGTTAACTATAAAGTTTACAATTTTAAGGGATAATTACTTACTAAAGTTTTCATATTGGTTCCTTTGTAGGCAACAAACAATAAAGGCAAAGAAAAAATCTATTCAGCAGAGAGATTTCTTATTGCCACTGGTGAAAGGCCACGTTACTTGGGCATCCCTGGCGACAAGGAATACTGCATCAGCAGGTAAGGGAAAAAAGT